AAAGATTATTATTATTATTATTATTATTTTTTTTTTTTGAGTTGGAGTCTCACTCTGTTGCCCAGACTGGAGTGCAGTGGCTGCTCCCGGCCACCGCAGCCTCGACCTGCTGGGCTCCGGCGATCCTTCCGCCTCAGCCTTTCAAGTAGCTGGAACTATAGGCGCACGCTACCACGCCCGGCTGATTTTTTGATTTATTGTAGAGATGAGGTCTCGCTGTCCAGGCGAATCTCGAACCCGCGGGCTCAGGCAATCCACTCACTTCAGCCTCCCAAAGGCGCGGGATTATAGGCTGAGCCACCGAGCCCAGATTATTTTTTTTTAGTTGGAGTTTCACTCTGTGCTCATGCTGGAGTGCAGTGACATGTTCATGGCCACTGCAGCCTTGACCTGCTGGGCACAGGTGATCTGCCTAAAACTTTCTTTTCTTTTTTTTGGAGTTGGAGTCTCACTCTGTCGCCCAGACTGGAGTGCAGTGGCCGCTTCCGGCCACCACCACCTCGACTGCTGGGATCCAGTGATCCTTCCGCCTCAGCCTTCCTAGTAGCTGGAATTACAGGCACGCGCTGCCATGCCCGGCTGATTTTTTGATTCATTGTAGAGATGAGGTCTTGCCAAGTTGCCCAGGCGGGTCTTGAACCCGCAGGCTTAGGCAATCCACTCACCTCAGCCTCCCAAAGGCGCGGGATTACAGGCTGAGCCATCGACCCCGGCTTGCCTTAACCTTTCAAGTAGCTGGGACCACAGGCACGCGCCACCAAGCCAGGCTAATTTTTTGATTTATTGTAGAGATGAGGTCTTGGCAAGTTACCCAGGCTGGTTTCGAACTCGTGGGCTCAAGGCAATCTTCTTATCTCGGCTTCCCAAGAGTGCTGGGATTATAGGTGTGAGCCATATCTGGCCTAAAAGATTCTTCTTTCGAGTAATGAAAATGTTTTAAAATTGATTGTGTTGATGGCTTGCACAACTCTGAGTACATTAAATCATTGAATTGTACACTTTAAACGGGTGAATTTTATGACTTGTGAATTATATTTCATTAAAACTTTAAAAAAGTAAATGACTAAGAAATGTCTTTCATTGCTGCTGCTGTATTCCTAGAGTCTTTTTTGCTTTTCATGTTTTTAATTATGGACATTTTCTTCTTCTTTCCTTCTTTCCGTCCATCTTAGAATCTCACTCTGTTGCCCAGGCTAGAGTGCAGTGGCATGCTCACGGCAACCACAGCCTTGAAATACATGGACTGGGCTCAGGTGATCCTTCCACTTCAGCCTTTCAAGTAGTTGGAAGTACAGTCACATGCCACCATGCCTTGCTAATTGTTTTGATTTATTATAGAGATGAAAGTTGCTCGTGCTGGTCTCGAACCCCTGGGCTCAGGCAATTCTCTCACCTCCCCTCACAAAGTGCTGGAATTACAGGTGTGAGCTACTGCCCCTGGCCTGTCTATTCATCAATTTAATTTTAGACATATCTCAAAGTAAATTGCAGACATCTGTCTGCATACTTCTACCAAAAACTAAAGCTTGCAAGCCGGGCTTGGTGGCTCAGCCTGTAATCCCGCGCCTTTGGGAGGCTGAGGTGAGTGGATTGCCTGAGCCCGCAGGTTCGAGACCCGCCTGGGCAACTTGGCGAGACCTCATCTCTACAATAAATCAAAAAATCAGCCGGGCGTGGTAGTGTGCGCCTGTAATTCCGGCTATTGGGAAGGCTGAGGCGGAAGGATCGCCGGAGCCCAGCAGGTCGAGGCTGCGGTGGCCGGGAGCAGCCACTGCACTCCAGTCTGGGCGACAGAGTGAGACTCCAACTCAAAAAAAAAAAACAAAAACAAAACAAAACAAAAAAACTAAAGTTTGCATATTAACCAGAATTCAGTGTTTTTTTTGTTTTTGTTTTGAGTTCGAGTTTTACTCTGTCGCCCAGACTGGAGTGCGGTGGCCGCTTCCGGCCACCGCAGCCTCGACCTGCTGGGCTCCGGCGATCCTTCCGCCTCAGCCTTCCGAGTAGCTGGAATTACAGGCATGCGCTACCACACCTGGCCGATTTTTTGATTTATTGTAGAGATGAGGTCTCGCTGCCCAGGCGGGTCTCGAACCCCCACGGGCTCAGGCAATCCACTCACCTCAGCCTCCCAAAGGCGCGAGATTACAGGCTGAGCCACCAAGCCCGGCTAGAATTCAATGTTTTAGGGATGTATTTTTTTTTTGAGTTGGATTCTCACCCTATTACCTAGGCTGGAGGGCAGTGGGACGTTGACGGTCACTGCAGCCTTGGCCACTGGGTTCAGGCAATCCTTCTGCCTCAGCCTTCCAAGTAGCTGGAACTGCAGGCATGCACCACCACACTCGGCTAAATTTTTGATTTATTGTGGAGATGAGATCTCGCCAAGTTGCCCAGGCTGATCTCAAACCTGTGAGCTCAGGCAATCCTCTCACCTCGGCCTCCCCAAGTGCTGGAATTATAGGCATGAGCCACCCTGTCCAGCTGGGGATATATTTTTATATAGTGACATACTTATGCTTTAAGTGTTCATTTGCCGAGTTTTACAAACATACACATCTTTGTAACCAATACCCTTATCATGAAACAGAACATTATGTTGGAAAATTTCCTCAGGCCTCTATCCTCAAGTAATCACTGAGTTTTGTATTAAATTGGCCAGTTTTGAAACTTCTTAAAAGTGGAATCATTTAATACATTGTCTTTTGTGTGAGGCTTCTTTTACTCAGCATAACATTTTTGAGATTCATTTAGTTGTTGCTTATGTTACTGTTCCTTCTACAGTATTGCTTACTAGTGTGACACTATACGTTTATTATTTTCTCTTATTGATGGACACTTTTTTCCCCCAGCTTTTTGCTATTGGATGTAAAACTCATTTTAAACTTCTAACGTGTCAGAGCTCTGATTGCTCACCAATATTGGTATTAGCAACCTAAATTTTGTTATTCTGATGGGTGTTTTCTACATCTTTATTTTTTTTAAATCGAGATGTAGTTTATAAGTCATCCTTTTATTTTTATTTTTTGAGTTGGAATTCTGTCACCCAGGTTGAAATGTAGTGGCACGTGTATGATTCACCACAGTCTTGACCTCCTGGGCTTAGGTAATTCTTCCATGTTAGCCTCCCGAGTAGCTGGTACTGTGCAGAGGCATGCCACTATGCCTGGATAGTTTTCTGATTTATTTATTTGTTTATTTATTTAGGTAGAGATGAGGTCTTGCTATGTTGCCTAGGTTTGCCTTGGATTCTTGGGCTAGTCTCTAATGCCTCGACTTTCCAAGGTCCTGGGATTACACATGTGAGCCAGTGTACCTGGCCAAAAGTCACCCTTTTAAAGTGTATAATTCAGTTCATAGAGCTGGGCAACCGTCGCCACAATTAAATTTTATAACTTTTTCATTACTTCATAAAGAAACCCTAAATGAATCAGCCATCATGCTGTGAAAAAGTCATGGAGAAACCTTAAATGCGTATTGCTAAGTGAAAGAAACCAACCTGAAAAGTCCATGTGCTGTACATTCCAACTAGGTGACATTCTGGGAAAGGCAAAACTATGGAAACAATAAAAGAATCAGTTGCCCAGAATTTGGATGGAGAGTGGAATGGCACAGGGGAGTTTTATAGCAGTGAAACTATTTTGTAGGATACTGAAATGGTGGATACTTACATATTTGTCAAACAAAACTCATAAAACCCTAATAGAAAATATCATAGGCATCAGTATTTGCTCATTAATTAGAAGAAGTGTACCACACTAATGCAAGATGTTAATAGGGGAACTTGGCTGAGGATGAGGTGAGCATATATGGGAATTCTCTTTGTGTTCATTTGTCTGTAAACCTAAAACTGTTAACCCTTTGTACTTGGAGACGTTTCACAGATCACCTACCAGTAACTTGACTGTACTTTTTTTACAAAATATTGAAAAATGAATCACGTCATATTAAATAGTATAGCATTGGAACCAGTTATTTTATTGTGATGATATTTGGTTTATAATGGAATTTAGGACATTGAGGAACTTATGACAAAAAGTTCAAAATTTCATGTTTTCCTAAAGTCTGGTAACATGTGAAACAAGTCACCGACATGCATTGCAGCTTTATTGATACATATTGTGCAATAGTAATTTGTTTGACATCTTCCACCTGATAGTTTTTCTATTGGAACAGACAATGCAGTCTCATTTCCTCTCTCCTACATTAATACTATGTAATTGATTGTCCAGTTTGTGCACCACTGTGAAAGTACTTCACACATTCTCTTTCTACATAATACCTGCTGATTTAAGTTTGTCCTGTATAATCACCAGCAATCTCTTTGTGTCCCCTGAGAAGGGACATCTGAATGGTTTGTTAGTATCCCCTCAGAGGGAACATCTGAGTGGAAAGGATTAATTTTTTTAAAAAAAGATAAAATCTCCATGTACTTATTAGCTATTCATCCCATCTCTTCTTCCTCCCTTTAATCCTAGGCAACCACTAATTCTTTTCTCTGGATTTACCTATTCTGAACATTTCATATAAATGGGGTCTCATAATGTCTTTCTTGACTGACTTCTTTCACCTAACTTAATATTTTCAGAGCTGATTCATATTGTAACATGTATCAGTTCCTTTTATTGTATTCATTTCTTTTTATTGCTGAATACAGATGATAGGCATTTGAATTGTTTCTGCTTTCTGGCTGTTAGTAACAAAGTTGGTGCTTGTGAACATTCATGTATAAGTTTTTTCTGTGAACATGTGTTTTCAGTTCTTGTGGATATATACCTAGAGTGGAATTATTGAGTCATATGCTAACTCCATTTAACATTTTGAGAAACTGCCAAACACCAGTTTGGCTGCACCTTTTTCATTTTACGTTACCCAGGAATGTATGAGGGATCCAATTTCTCCACATCTTGCCAACACTTGTTATTATCTTTTTTCTATTATAGTCATCCATTCCACATAAAAGTGGAATGTGATTTAACCTATTGTTGTTTTTTTAATAGAGGAAAATTTCTGGAGATGTGCGATGATCTCTTAGCTAGAGTGGAGCCACCACTTCGTAGTGTTTTGGAACAAGCCAGTAAGTATTTTTGTGATTGAATTGTTTGTATATCTCAGACTCTTTGGAAAAATGTTCTCTCAAGCAGCTATATAAATTTTTATTGTGTGAACTATTTCACTAGTATATTAAGCTGCTTTTTATCTTTATCTTTCCCCTGGAGCACCTCCCTCCTCCACAGTAATCTTTTGACAAATGTCCAGGGAAATCTAATAAAAGTTGTTGCAAGAAACCTAATTCAGACTGAGAAATGAATTATTTTATGGTGGTAAAAATTGTCTTTTGCAATGCTGATGTGTTAGTCTTGTATGCTTTTCTGTCAATGAATTCTTACTTAGCTGAATGAGAGATACAGCAAAGAGAAGGTGTGATAACCACACACAAGATGTTTTGATTTTGTCTCAAAAAAGGTGGCTGTTTGATTTAGGAATATATACTGATTTTCCTAAAACCTTCTCTGATGGAATGTTTACCTAGAGTTCACTGTTGTTTTGGTTGCTAACTTTCAGAGTGTTGAGTTGTACTGTTAGTTGTGCGCAGACTTTGCTCTTAAATGAGAGAGATTATGGCAGACAGGCATATTCTTTCCACACTGGGACAGTCTATTTCTTTAAATAGTCCTTCTCAAGAAATTGTCAGTGGTTGTTAAATAAAATATGACCAGGAAATCGGGTGCTATTAGGGGGTATTTTATAGGCAGCCACAGAGCCTTGATACATATCTTATTTCTTTCTGATATGAAGAAACTATACTTGTGTTTTAATTTGGACTATGTTTATGCTTTGAATAGAGCATTGGAATGCCTGGATGTAATTCTGAATACCTCTTTTACTTTCATGCCAGGTCAGGGGGACCCACTATTTTGAGGCTCTCTTATTTTCTTATGACTGGCGTATTTGAAGATTTGGTCTATTGATGTTCTAGCATCAATATATTGTATGAGATTGTGTCACAAACCCTCACCTCTTAAACTAAATCCCACTATTGTTGTATTATCCTTCCCTTACTGTTTTGAGAATCAAAATACCTACTTGTTTTGAGATGCCACACGCCTGTGTCACTGTGGGCATGAGTGTAGGTATGTTGTGGAGGGGGATGAGGGAGTGGAAGAGTTTTATAGATCTGTGACTTACTTCATTGTGATAAGATGTTATTGCTTTTCTTTCATTGTAAAATACTGATTAAGGATTCTTTTAATCTAAATGTCTGATTGTTTAACAATAGAGTTAAAGAAAGAAGATATTTACGCAGTGGAGATAGTTGGTGGTGCTACAAGAATACCTGCAGTAAAAGAGAAGATAAGCAAGTTTTTTGGTAAAGAACTTAGTACAACATTAAATGCCGATGAAGCTGTCACTCGAGGCTGTGCATTGCAGGTAAGCTTTCTTTCTTTTATAGATAGCCATTTAGCAAGATCATTTTAACAAGATGGTTAAGTGGTTTATGAATCTAATAATCTGAGTTTAGCTCAGGGTGATTTCAAGGTGTAAGGTTCTGAAACCTTTTTTTTGAAATGGATAGCAGAGGTGACAGCCATAAAAGTAATTTTACTTTCCAACACATACTAAGATAAATTAATTGACTAGAAATATAAGTAAACTCTGAGCCTGAAATACTACCAGAATTTATCCTACTATCTATGTCAATATGATGTAGTATACATTGATTAAACAAGGATGGGCATGTTTATGGAAAAATCATAAGGAATAGCTACATCATATAGGTAATTTGAAAAATGATGGCTTATAAAACTGCTTGTTCAGGTACCATTACATTATTAATGTAAATATTTTAAAAAGACCATTGAAGATAATCTTCTGAACTAATTATTTGTAGGTTTAGTGATACTATCAGTTTATAATGTCTATGCTTGTCAAATGGAATTTTTAAAAATTGTTATTCTAGTGTGCAATCTTATCGCCTGCTTTCAAAGTCAGAGAATTTTCAATCACGGATGTAGTACCATACCCAATATCTCTGAGATGGAACTCTCCAGCTGAAGAAGGGTCAAGGTAATTTGTTTATTAGTCATTTTTATACTTCAGGTTAATTCAGTTAAGTCTGAGTAATCTATTGGCTTCCATTTCAATTTATATAAATCTGTAACATTTTGTTGTAGTGCATGAAGCAAAGTGATCACCTGTTTTAGTCAGAATAAAAGAATCTGTGTCCTTATTTAGTTTTCAACATTTGATTCTGCTGAAGTCATTGGTGCCTTTTATGTGCTAATTGATGCGTATTTGCTTTTTCCCTGACTTCATATATAAAGATTCTTGGAACCCTTATAATCTGGAAATAATGCCAGTTGAGAAAAGAGAGAAACTAGGACTATACAATAATGACAGACCTAGAATATGTGGGTAAAAATGTTAGGACTATCTTGAATTTGTATGTTTTTGTCTTTTCTTCCATTTAGTGACTGTGAAGTCTTTTCAAAAAATCATGCTGCTCCTTTCTCTAAAGTTCTCACATTTTATAGAAAGGAACCTTTCACTCTTGAGGCCTATTACAGCTCTCCTCAGGATTTGCCCTATCCAGATCCTGCTATAGGTATGTAAAGAGTTGGGAATTAAAAAACAAGCAAACAAAAAAGCAAAAACTTTCCACTTGGAAAACTGGGATAGCAGAAAGAACAAGTACGATATTCTGAAATTTATGTACTTTAGATCATAAAAGAAAACTTTTTCCAGTCTTGTTGCCAGGTTCAGATCCAGCCAGATGGTTATTATTTAATTGGATCTTCCATTGTGTAGGCAGTATTTTTTTCATTAATGCACACTGTGTATACATGTGCATAAGATGGTGCTAGATACTGTAAGGAGTTGAAATTCAATTCTGATCCTAATATACAGTAAAAAACTGTACACAGAAAATCATTAGGAGATTGTGATACAGTATCAACACATTCTAGGTTTTGGAACCATGTTGTCTAGACTCTCATATTTATAGACTCTAGGGCAATCTTATAGCCTAGAAGTAATACAAGTTGAGAAGAGAGAGAAATTAGTTATACTATAAAGAGTACATGGGTAAAATATCAGAAGTATCCTGAATAGCATTTAGAAGCTGTGGAAAGTTAACCTACTCTGTTTTCCTCGCTTGTAAAACCAAGAATAAGGATGAAATTTATTCTTTGCAGAGTTGTGGGAATCAACATAAATAGAACCCTTGTACTGGATTTAGAAATAGCGATTTATTGATAAGTTACAAGAGTGGTGTGGTTTCATTGGTTTTCTTTTTTCTTTTTCTTCCAGTAGAGAAGATTGTGACAAATCTGTTACAGAAATTTATCTAAAAGTAGGCTATAAAGATAAAATAAGGGACTTATTTTAATAAGGAAAGAATTAAAGGATAATTTGAGCCCTTAATTGGGCCAGGATCATAAGAGTTAGACTATATGTGAAAGGGGAATTTTGTAAGAATCTAGGAATACCCACTTAGCTTATTTGAATTGTCATGTCAGTTACTGACTTGTCATTGAGAAATGGACATAACCTGGCAGTGTTGGCATGTAGTTATGTTTTAACTCATCCTCTTACGCTGTGTGTTTTCTTTTGTCTCTCGTGTCCCTAGCTCAGTTTTCAGTTCAGAAAGTCACTCCTCAGTCTGATGGCTCCAGTTCAAAAGTAAAAGTTAAGGTTCGAGTAAATGTCCATGGCATTTTCAGTGTGTCCAGTGCATCCCTAGTGGAAGTACACAAGTCTGAGGAAAATGAGGAACCGATGGAAACAGATCAGAATACGAAGGAGGAAGAGGTAATCTGGACATTTTATAATGTTTATGATGACCCAGTGGTGATTTGTCTAGAAATTCTAGCATGTTATAAGAGAGGAACATTGTGACAGAGCTGCTGAGTGAAGGTGGGTTTGTGTATGTTTCTTGCCCCCAACATAGGTGAATCAGCAAAATATTTTAATGTAGATTTTTTTTTTTTTTTTGAGATGGGGTCTCACTCTGCTGCTCAGGCTGGACTATAGTGGCCCAGTCTTGGCTCACTGTAGCTTCAACCTCCTAAGTAGCTGGGACTATAGGTGAATGCCGCCAATTTTAGCATTTTTGTAGAGATGAGGTCTTGCTATGTTGCCCGGGCTGGTTTTGAATTCCTGGGCTCAAGCAGTCCTCCTGCCTTGGTTTCCCAAAGTGTTGGGATTATAGGCATGAGCCACTGCTCCTGGCCTTATGCAGAATTTGTATAGAAATGGAACACAGTTGATTCCTTTCTTCAGATCATGCATTTCTCATCTTGAGTTAGTCTCAATTCTTTCTGGTTATTGAAGAGTGCTCTGAGTCTTGGTTATTTTCCCAAGTAGAATAGATTTTGCTCTGGGTCTTTATTGTATATCAGAATCAAAGCTTTATAAAACTACAAATGTTTGAGTCTCATCCCTAGAGATTTTGTTGGAGTTGTTCTGGACTGGGGCCCAGGTACCAGTAGTTTAAAAAGGCTTTTGGGTCATTCTAATATGATGCTGATATTGAGAACTACTGGTTCAGGCTCTCCACAAACTTTGACCTTTGTCATTATTGTTAGACTTTTAAATTTTAACAGAATACTCAATGTGTTCACCTCCCCTAGCAAATGTAATGGTCATACTTTTGAGAATGAAAGGCTGATTTAGGAACTGTTTGAAAAAGTTACAGCTTTTGAGATAAAGTACTTGTGAGGAAGCTTGGAGAAAGTTGTGTTTTCTTCAGATTGGATTTTGTAGATTGTGTTAAATGATACCACATTGTGAACTACGAATACTTTATGGTGTACAAGGCAATTCCACAGTCACTCGTGTTTATAAGGTTAGGGTAGGGCAAGTTATCCCCATTTACAGATGTATTAATTGAGGTCCAGAGAAGAAAACATCTGTGCTCTAGGTAATAATGTGGCATACCTGGAATTTGATCCTAGGTTTTCTGATTGCTGGCAATTTAGCAGGAATTCCATACCATGTGACCTTGTCAATGTGTCTTGAAGATTACTTAATCTTTCATTAGTATTTTCTGATTTCAGTGTTTAATTTGATCTGTTTTTCAGAAGATGCAAGTGGACCAGGAGGAACCACATGTTGAAGAGCAACAGCAGCAGACACCAGCAGAAAATAAGGCAGAATCTGAAGAAATGGAGGTATGAGTTGTGTTTTGGAGTGTGAATTGGCAGTCTCTTAACAGTGGTTTTGACTGAGGGGCTGTTTCTTGAAAGGAGATATTTTAGGGATTCTTTCTGTATTTGAATGATTTTATTTATGTATTTATTATTTATTTATTTGAGTTAGAGTCTCACTCTGTCGCCCAGACTGGAGTGCAGTGGCTGCTCCCGGCCACCGCAGCTTCGACGTGCTGGGTTCCGGCGATCCTTCCGCCTCAGTCTTCCAAGTAGCCGGAATTACAGGCATGCGCTACCACGCCCGGCTGATTTTTTTGATTTATTGTAGAGATGAGGTCTCACTGCCCAGGTGGGTCTCGAACCTGCAGGCTCAGGCAATCCACTCACCTCAGCCTCCCAAAGGCATGGGATTACAGGCTGAGCCACTGAGCCCGGTTCACCTTAATCTTTTCTTTTCTTTTTTTTAAGTTGGAGTCTTACTCTGTTGCCCAGGCTGGAGTGTAGTGGCATGCTTACAGCCACCCCAGTGTCTACCCATTGGGCTCAGATGATCCTTCCAAGTAGCCAGAACTATAGGCGCGTGCTACCATACCTGGCTAATTTTTTTAAGTGTACCGTTCGGTAGTGTTAAGTATATAGACATTGTTTACCAGTCTTCAGAACTTTTTTGTCTTATAAAATGGGAACTCTGTACTCATTAAGCAACTTCCCATCCTTTCCTTCCCCCAAGCCCCTGACAGTCATCCATCTCTATGAATTTGGCTATTCTAGATATATCATATTTATCTATTTATCTTCCAGAGGTTGCAATAGTCCTACATTATTCAGATCATTAGAGAACAAAGTTAATGAAGAAGCAAAAACAACTTTTGAATCATGACCCACTTTGAAATTTGTTAGTCTGTGTATGTATTTTCTCATAATCATTTCTCTTTCTATTTTAGACCTCTCAAGCTGGATCAAAGGACAAAAAGATGGACCAACCACCTCAAGCCAAGAAGGCAAAAGTGAAGACCAGTACTGTGGACCTGCCAATTGAGAATCAGCTATTATGGCAGATTGACAGAGAGATGCTCAACCTGTACATCGAAAACGAGGTTGTTATTTAAAGTGTCTTAGAATAATGAATTAACAAATTAATGTGACCGTAGTATCCAGACTCTGTGCCTTGTGTCCTTTATGCATTTTTGGTTGTTTAGAAAAATTAAGACTTTTGGTTACTGTCAGGGCAAGTTGCAGTAATAAATCCCATGATATGTCAAAATTCTTACATAGAGATGCTAATATGATATCTGTATTGCTAAAAGGTCTGTTATGAGATCTTTGTAAGGGGAGACATTGTTCATTTTGGGGTGTCAGTGTATTTTAAGTTAGAGGATTGGGTTATCTTAGATGGTGGATCCTGGAAGTTGATCAGTAGGAGAAAGCATACAGCATTAATTGATAGCGCTATTTTGCTTATTAGTTCCTTCCCAATGTCAATCATTGTGTAAATATAGTAACTCTGGTTTTGGTAAGTGGTGCAAGGTTTGGGATCCCGGTGCAGATTTATTAAATGAATTCTTGTCTCTGAGGTTTCTTATCAGGTATCCATTGGATCTTACAATAGTTTTACTTTACAGAACCTTCTGTATTTATACTGCATTAATAAATTTGATTTTCTTCGTATTCATTATAAATAATACAGCAGAGTATGTCACTTTGTGACATTGAACCAATAGTTTTTTAAAAGTTCTCTTGTTTTAAATTCTTCATTTTTGCTTTTGAGTGTTCCCTTGGTATTTCCATTGCTCTTTTTTCCTAATCCCACCCATAAAACTCTGCTTCTTGATCTTCAAAATTTGTTGAGGGCTAGTCTTACAGCTCTTCTTTGTTGGGTGACTCAGAACTAAAGGAATTTGGTGAAGAAGAATTCTCTACTTTTATAATTATATTAGTTTTTTTTGGTGTGTGTAGAAATGGGATATTGCTATGTTGCCCAGGCTGGTCTTAAGAGAACTCCTGAACTCAAGCAATCTTCCCACCTTGACCTCCCAAAGTGCTGGGATTACAGATGTTAACCACTACACCTGTCCCATATTAGTATTTAAGAGGAAACATTTGTTGTCCTACTATCTAAGTAATTTATACATAGTATTTATTCTCAGGGTAAGATGATCATGCAGGATAAACTGGAGAAGGAACGGAATGATGCTAAGAACGCAGTGGAAGAATATGTGTATGAAATGAGAGAGAAGCTTGGTGGTGAATATGAGAAGTTTGTTAGTGAAGATGTAAGTGTATGCCTCAGTGTACCTAGCTACTGTGTCTTCTGGGAGCATCAGTAAATGGATTTGAAGGGATGTCTGCATCTTTATGTGTATAGTAAAATTATTAAAAATGTACTTTTTTTGGGGGGGGAGGTTTTATATAGTTTTATTGTGTATTTAGTGTGGTGTTTCCTGAATCTTAGTCTTGATATGCATCAGTTTCACACACTTTTGGACAGATTTGAATGTTTAAAAAAAAATCAGCTCACTTTTTCCTGTTTATTTTGACTCAGTTGCTTTATTTATTTATTTATTTTTGAGTTGGAGTCTCACTCTGTCGCCCAGACAGGAGTGTAGTGGCACGCTCCCAGCCACCGCAGCCTTGACCTGCTGGGCTTGGCTATCCTTCCACCTCAGCCTTCCAAGTAGCCGGAACTACAGGCGCATGCTACCATGCCTGGCTAATTTTTTTGATTCATTGTAGAGACGAGGTCTCACCAAGTTGCCTGGTGGGTCTCGAACCTTCAGGCTCAGGCAGTCCACTCGTCTCGACCTCCCAAAGTGCTGGGATTACAGGCTGAGTCATCAGCCCCGGGCAGACTCAGTTGTTTTAAATGCCATTTTTTGATTCTGAAATTTTTGAATGTACCCAAAGTCCCCCATAGCAGAGATAATATAATAAAACCCCCTGTATCTAATGAAACATTTGCTAGTCTTTTTTCCCATATCCTCTACCTCCCTACTTCCCTGTAGAAAGGAGGACTCCCTGTGTTGCACAGACTAGTCTCAAATTCCTGGCCTCAGGTGATCTTCCTGGCTCAGCCTCTCAAAGTGCTGGGATTACAGGTGTGAGCCACCACACCTGGCCTTTGACTGTTTTTTGATTGATCTAATTATAATATTTTCTTTATCTTTAGGATCGTAACAGTTTTACTTTGAAACTGGAAGATACTGAAAATTGGTTGTATGAGGATGGAGAAGACCAGCCAAAGCAAGTTTATGTTGATAAATTGGCTGAATTAAAAGTAAGTGACTCTGGAGAGCAGAGGGATCCTGAATCTTTGACGACTTTTCCAATGAGAGCTCAAAATTAGGAGGAATTGTCATGTCAAGTAAAGAAGACAGGCTGAAAATGATGTTTGGTGAACTATATCCATTGTGACTCAGGCTCATTATCATTCTCACTTTTAGAACCTGATAATAACAAAATAATTTTTTCTGAAAATCGAGTTTAGGCTTGTAATGCTTCATTGAATTGGAGCTATAGTGCATTCTAGGCATCAAGAGAGAGACTAGCAAGGTGTAGTTCTGCAATGCAGTTGGGGCAGGGCTGTTCATATAATTTTGATTCTCAATACAAGTACAGTATCTGGTTTTGTATTTAAAGAATCTGATTGTTAGACCTTAGGCTTAAAAATACAGAGAATTACTTAAAATTGAAACTTTTTATTTGGAAAAGGATGTTAGTGTACAAGGATGCATTTTTTACATTTCCCTTTAGTTTTAGCTTTAGTTCCTTGTAGCACTGGACCAGTATGGCTACTTTTCTTGAGCAGAATTTCTCAAGGATGGTGTAGTTTAGTATAATGCTGGCAAGAATATTAAGAGTCTCCATGGGGTCCTTCCCGTTGTTTTTATCTTCCCTTTTATTCTGGTAGATGCCAAACACGTGAAAGTAGAGACTAAAAAAAACTGTTGTAAGTTTATTGCCAGTATATTTCATTTGTTTCTTACTATTCTGTTTTGTGAAGCACATTCCTCATTTTATAGTCAATCCAAAAATATTTCAATAAAAGGAAATTTAACATTAGGTGTTACCCACCTTAAGAATTTCTTAATATTACTATAGGTTTAAAGTTTTCAAGTTCCAGCTATTTCATTAAATGATGTTTTAGTTTGTTTGATTCGTTACAGTAAGTCCCTTACATAAGAATGAGTGCCATTCCAAGAGTGGGTTCGTAAGTTCAGTTTGTTTGTAAGTTCAACAAAGTTAGCTTAGGTACTCAACTGACACAGTCAGCTTATACCAGCTACATCACTGCTGCTTTTACAAGCTAGCTTCTGGACATCCTGTGCCTGAAATAAAGATACTGTACTACTATGTACATTACTGTAAAGTACACAGAAGCACAACCGCTTATAGAAGGTACATGCATGAGACAATGTATGCCAGACACATGAACTAACTTATGTGATTGGGCACTTGAATGCATGTTGAATCTTTGAAAGTTTACAACTTGAAGGTTAGTATGCAGGGGACTTACTGTTTTCAAATGAGGTTTATACATTTTATTGATATGTCTCTTTAAAAAATAATTAAAAAAATAGAGATGGGACTCCTTGTGTTGCTCAGACTGGACTCAAACTCCTGGCCTCAAGTGATCCTCCCACTTTGACCTCCTGGAATGCTGGGATTACAGACATGAGTCACCATGCTCAGTCCTGATTTGTTTCTTAAATTTGTGTCTGTAGTTCTCCTCCTGTCATCCTCCCCCTTCCTTATTTATTTGATGAGGGAGCTAGATCATTTGTCCTATAGGATTTTTCTGGCATGCAGAGGCATGACCATGGCTCACTTGACCTCCTGGGTGCAGGCAGTTCTTCTGCCTCAGCCTCCCAAGTAGCTGGGACTACAGACACACACCCTCATGCCTGGCTAATTTTAGAGATGAAGGTCTCGCTGTGTTGCCTAGGCTGGTCTTGAACTCCTAGGCTCAAGCAATCCTCCCACCTTAGCCTCCTAAGTGTTGGGATTACAGTAGACTCCTGCTCTGTTTTGAATATTAGGGCTCAGTGACAGAGGTAGCCTCATATTTCCAGTGGGCTGGAGAAACACTTATATAGCACACTGAAGTTAAATGTACTTTGTAATCTTAGTAACAGTAGAAACAGTATAATTCTGATAGTTTAAGCTCCCCTATGAAGAATTGTATATTCTCTCTTCTGCTAAGAATCTAGGTCAACCTATTAAGATACGGTTCCAGGAATCTGAAGAGAGACCAAAATTATTTGAAGAACTAGGGAAACAGATCCAACAGTATATGAAAGTAATCAACTCTTTCAAAAACAAGGTATCTATCCCCCCTGCCTTTCCTATTCTTGTTTTGGTGAAGTTAAATTTTGGGGCATTACGTAGCATTTTTTTCTATTGTTCTTTTGACTGTTTAGTAACACTTATTTTTAATGTTAAATATAATGTGTTATGTTTTATAGTATCTTGATAAGAGCTATAGGATTTGCTGCATCTCTTTAATAGGTGGAATCTGGAATTGAGCTGTGTTCAGTTGCCTTTTATTGCTGTGAAATGCTTCCTCGGTGTTTGACTTAACATGCCAGCCTTTCTGAGAACTTGTTAGGTGTTCATTTGGTTTGTTACAGATGTAGGACTATTTCAGGACTATTGTAAACTTTTTAACAATTTTTGACCGCTATGTGATGAATACTTTATAAATATGTTATCTGACTGAATCCACACAGTACCCTTATGAGATAGGTGGTGGTATCGACATTTATAGATAACTTTTAATTTCATTAAGCCTCACTTTCCTTAAGCAATACCCACGCTTACTAAGTTAGAAGAGCTGGCATTTTAGCTAGAAGCATGACTTCAAAATTCAGGTTGCAGCAACTTCGTTATCCTCCAAGTTCTTGATGTATTGTCAGTGTAAGAAACTTTAAGAGCAATACATTGAGCTTTTTTTTTTTTTAAATTGTGCCTTTTGAAAGCCTTTCATTTATTCTTTTAAACATTGTACTCATTGTTGTTTTGGTTCCAAACTAGTAGTCCTAAACCTCAGTTCTCATATCTGATGTACATTTTTTGTGTTGTGAAATTCTTTGTAAGGTTTTGTGTAAAATGTGCTGTTACTTGTCCTTTTTAAGCCTTTAATTGCCACCTTTTTAATTTTCTTGGCCTAATTTTATTTCCTGAGTATTTTTAAAAATTGGAGTTATGTTTCCTTTCTTGAATATTTTCTATCTGTTTAGATTTGTGAGGCTAAATGTGCTTCATTTTGGGGGAAAGATTGTAACTTTTTGAAAGATTGTGACAAACTAGACAATATTTGAGGAAGGAGAGCTTCACCCTTTAACACATGTTTGGCTGTCTCCTGGTTGCAGGAGGACCAGTATGATCATTTGGATGCTGCTGACATCATGAAGGTAGAAAAAAGCACAAATGAGGCGATGGAGTGGATGAATAATAAGCTGAATCTGCAGAACAAGCAGAGTCTGACCATGGATCCAGTTGTCAAGTCAAAAGACATTGAAGCTAAAATTAAGGTAATTTGTGGCTTTAAATATATAAATAGTATTTTCTTGACAATCTTATTAGCCCATTCGTGACCACTGATGTGGATTTACGTCATTCCAAGTTCTGTTCCCGGTTGCCACTCATGTGTATTTACCTCATGGTGGATGACTGTCTTTTAGTGTTTATAATCCGAATAAAAATACAAAGTACGGAATGCTAGTCAGAGACAAATACTGGATGTCTGCAACTTTCAGCTATATTGCGAAAAAGGTGACAGTTGAGAAAAGACCATTTTACTTGTGCTTAACAACAAGTTTATAGCAACCAGCTTCAGATTTTTAAAGTTTTCATGCACTCTAGTATTAGGAAAGTGAATGTTGCTGGTCTTGAATGTGCCAATAATACTCAAGTGACATGTAGGAGGGAACTTTGTTATTGCATCTTAGTTTCTGAGTTGGGGATTAGGTGGGAGAGGGTAGATTTGGGTTTGGCATGTCTTGTAAAGTTTAATGTATAAGAAACTTCATATTCTCTCTTCCATTCTAGGAGCTGACGGGTATTTGTAGCCCTATAACTTCAAAGCCCAAACCCAAAGTGGAACCTCCAAAAGAGGAACAAAAAAATGCAGAGCAGAATGGACCAGTGGAGGGACAAGGAGACAACCCAGGCCCCCAGGCTGCTGAGCAGGGTACAGACACAGCTGTGCCTTCAGAGTCAGACAAGAAGCTTCCTGAAATGGACATTGATTGATTCCAACACTTGTTTATATTAAAACAGACTATTATAAAGCTTTAAGTTGTCAACTTTGTTCTAAATATCAACTAGAGAAAATGAATACTGAAGATTTCTTAGTCAGTTTTTAGGGAATTCCAGGGGAGGGGATATAGGTAATGTATGGAGCATTTTGACTTCTAAATAGTTAGATACAGAAATTAAATGCATTGTATCTTTTTCATAATGGTACTATTTAGAAGCCCAGTTAGTCTTACTGAGCTTATGCTTCACTCCTTTTATGTTTAATCATGTGTCTACAGGAATAAGTTTGTTTTGGAAAGTTGAGCTGTAGCTAAAGTTATAACTAGCTATCATGCAGACTTTTCATTATGACTTACAAGGCAGGAGCTCTAATTATGCTTTAAAAATCTGTTGTGGAGGTTGCTACACAGGCTCCCTGCCTGGCATGGGGATGGGGTCTCCCTCTGTTTGAGGGCTAGAGCATGACACGGCATGGATTAACATAGCAGAGCGACAAAAGTGTGCTCTGAGTTTCTTCGCATTTCACCTCTACTCCCACCTCTATTCTCCACCGTCTCCATAGAAGTGCTCCCATTGTACCTGCCATGTGCTGCTCTTGGGAAAATAGACCTAGAGCAGGCTGTTAATTGAGGGTTTTAGGCCTGGGGGCTCTTCCTGAAAGTGTAGTCACTAATATCCCAAGCATCAAAGTCTAAATAATTTCCAGAAGGTTAGAATTGGGTAGATGTACTGTTGGATATAGGCATGATAAATTTAACTGAGGAGTTGATCCTTGTTAATTATGGTGTAAAGATTTGTATTCTGGCCTGTATTCTGGGGGATGTTTTGTGTAAATTTGAGGTGTAGCTCGAACTCCTTGGACAGGAGTTAAATGTTCTTTTTAGCTCATTCACAATCACTTGTGTGTTAAGTGTTAATAACATCTGTCATAAATCTGCCAATTTCTACTTGTTAAACAGCTGTCAGATCATACAGAAAACTAAGATACACTGGATTGTACTGGATGAGTCTGAAATAGTGTTAAGGAAGCGTGGTGCCTGATGTTATAGTAGCACGTCATTCTTAACTGCAGTCAATGTCAGGTGGACCAAAGCATTCCTCTGACTGCTCATTGGGGCAGTGTCGATAGGAGTGAGGCATTTTGGAAACTCCAAGGGAAGCCTGTGTTAGAGGCCAGAGGTGGTACTGTCTTATAAAGTTATAATCAATCCTTGCTGGTTACATTTTGGATCTTTGTATAAAGTTGATATTCTGTATAACAGAGTGCCTCTCTGTTAATTTTGGCCTATGTTGTTAGAAATAAGATTATATCTTGCATAGTTAGAAAAAGTTTCTCTCCAGCTCTACACTGAGAAGTTTGAGTGCTGCGTGAAGCTTAGAGAAGAGGAAGGTGGAAGTATATTTATGTTGGTATGTAAACATGCATGGAAACCTTTCGGCACCAGGAATTGGGCTCTGTTCTCACAGTATCCTCTACTCATTCTCTCCCTGTCATGCTTCAAGAGTTCCAGCTGGCCTGCTGTGAGACCAATATCTATTTTGAAGTGCTGGCTCCAGAATTAAGCCAACCTTATGCAACTGACTCAGTCCTTAATGGCCATTTCTTCTAAAAAAAATTCTTTTTTGTGTGGGGAAGGGTGTGGGTGCTGGGATGGGGTGAATTTGAAGTTAAAACTAGAAATAAGATGATGTGGTCTGCTTGCTCTCTGTTTAGACAGGCTTTAAGACCAGTTGGATTTACATGGAGGCCAGGCCAGAAGAGTGGTAATTGATGACTTGTATGCAGACGAGCATTCATCCAGGTTGTGTTTTCCAAATTGGTTTGTTAAAGCTCCAGGTCACATTCTTACACTAAGAAAATCATTCAGTAAACATGAGACAAGTTTAGGAAAAACTAATAAAAGAAACCTGTCTTACACTCCAAGAAGTGGTTTCCTTAATTTCATAATGAAGGCTGCTGTTTGTGCACGTGTGTGTGTGTTTAATGCAAACTTTTCTCCAATAGTAGGAACCCTCTTAGCCAAATTCCAGTAAACTTCTGTTTGAGACCTCCATTCTGAAGAACAACAGTTGAGGCATTGCTGGGTGACAAGAAGTTGCTTTTTTTTGGTCCTCATTCTCCCCTGCTGAGTTGGCCCAGTTCCTCTGGTGTAGGAATTCTTCCTTATTTTGTTCCAGTGACTACTGGTCCTTTTTCTGAGGGTTCTGACAATAGCAAAAGGTGAGGGTTATGGTATTAAGTTAAGTGCCAAGATGAATGCCTGCCCAAGGAGCAACATGGCCTAGAGTACTGATCAGTTAGTTGCCACTGCTGGATGTGGGTTGTGTGTGCACAGGATGTGTGCCTTGGTGTATGTGTGGGTGGTGATGGGTGTTGAAAGGGATGGAGCCAGTGAAAGAGGTCTTAACTGCAGAAGGCATGGAACCCAGGTGGGGAGAGATCTGGGTGTTGTTTCCTGGGGTCCTGCCATTTACACAGTTCTGGTCCTCTGGCTTTGCTAGGAGCAAGCTCACCTGCCAAGGCCTACCAACAAGGTCTGTTCTAGCCATGTATCGTAAGAACCGGGACCCTAGTGAGTGGTTTCCTCTTGAGCATCTCGTCCTTGGGAGAAGAGTGGGCCCTGGTGAGGGGAGGGGGAAGCCTGAGACCAGCCAGCTGGTGATAAGCAGAGCATGGCTGTTTAACAGGAGTATTGGGATCACCTGGAAAGGGAACAGCAGCCCAGCTGAGCCAGGAGGGGAAGAGGATGTTGGAGAAAAACCAGGACTGGTGTAGAGGTTTTACAGTGGGGCAGCTTCAGATTGTGTGGAGAACTTGCTTCTGCGGCATTGGTGAGTGGCTGGCATTGGGGATGCTTCTCAAGTTTGTAGGGAAACTGTTAGAGGTGGTAGAAAGGACTGACAGATTGGGGTTCTGTTGTAGGGAGCTGGGAGTTGTCTAGGAAGGCCGGTATGATGTGTGCACAGTGAGTTGCGCCTGGGGGAAGCTGGAGGTAGTGGGACTTTTAAAATCCACTTTTTAGGGGATAGCCTCATGGAGGGGGAGATGGCTGGTGTCAGTACCTGTAGGGAAAGGAAAGATTTAAGCATGGTTCCAACACAAAACTATGCTTTAGAAGTTGGGATGGTAGTTATCCTTTGTGTGTTAGTGACGAGGCAATGTGAGGCAGACTTCCGGCGTCTGATGACTTGTTTATTGATCTGGTGTTTGATGGTACAGTCTGTTTGCTTGATGTGTTTCAGTCATTTTTCTTTTAGGTGGCTTTAACAAGAAGATGCCTTTTGTTTTCACATGAGGAATATAGGCTACGAAACTACACAGCCTTCCGTGTTTGGAAAGAACATGAAATGTGTGTTAGAAAACCAGAAGGACTTTTCCAAATGAAGTGATTTCTTCTTTAGGGTGGGATTGTGGTGACTTCTGTTTGCATGTTTTTGTTTGTGTTTTAAAAGAATAAGTATCTAGCAGTTTTCTACTAAGACACTAGTGTTTTTTAAATGAATGGTTCCAAAGTTTCAAACCTGGAAGAGGTGGTTGGACGCGTGGAAGTTTAGGAGTTGCCGTAGATGTTGGTGGGAGTTCAGACGAGATAGAGAAGCTGTACTGGATGGAGTTAAGAGATTGAAACTCCAGGTGGGTTGGAAGGAAGCTTCAGGGAATTAAGGTTGTCTGGATGTCAGGAAGAGGAAATGGTAACTTAGAAGGAAACGAGCTTGCCAGAGAGAAGGGATGCACAGGCATGTTGGGAGGAGGGGTTTGAAATGTGAGAAGGGCAGGGGCCAGCAGGGTCAGATGCTGTTGGGGCACTTCAGGAGGGTGGGAACTGGGTGGACTTAGAGAGCTTGAGGCTTAAGGTGCTGCCACTTGGTCAAGAAGCCTGGCCTCTGAGGTGAGGCATGGGTCTGGGAAGAAGGCTGGGTATTGTCCTGTGCCCACAGTCCTGTGTAAATAGGATAATTTCCACCAGTTACCTGGAGACCATGGAACTGCAGGGCCGTACATTCCTTGCTTTTCCCTTGGTGTTGACTGGGGCAGCCCTGGGACATGGTCTTGGAACGTTGCTGTCCTTGTGAACTGGATGCTGCTCCATTTGGAGCAGATGCTGCAAGAAATGTAGAAATGGAGGAGGTGATCACTTAAACATCAGTCTAGGAGGCTAAATGAGAAAAGTGGCCATGTTGGGGTAGGAGCAACATACCTGGGAGGAAAAAGAGAAAGATTATAGGTCTCGGGTTGGGGGAGAAAAGATCCCAGGATATGTAAACCAGAATGCTCTCCAGGTCTGCCCAGTGTTCATATGCAAGTGCCAGGCTAATTCTGACCTTGGTAGTCCAGTGCTGGCATATGTTCTCAGGACAGAATGGGGGGATATTTACTCCTAATTCCTCTATGGAATTTGCCAGATTCAAGCACAACACACAGATAATAGAATATAGAGAGGGTGCCAAAAAAGTACACATTTTAAGAAATGAAAAAACGATTAAAATAGTAATAATATGCTGATAACGAAAGATGAATACAAGTCACGTTTATGACTTCTACAATTACAAGAGGTGCTCAACATGATTGCCATCAGTGTCCAGACACTTCTGATTTTGGCAAACTAAAAGTAATACTTAGGTAACATCTCTTAAAATGTGGTACATTTTTTTTTGGCACCCCGGGTAGAAAGCTATGTTTGTCTTGGACCTTTTTCACTAGTTGTGTCTGGGTTTACATCTTGCAAAGGCCAGGTGGAATATTAGATTGAGAGTCCTGTATCAGTGGAGAAGTACTGAGAAGGCATTTCAACTATACAAGTTAGCAGGCCCTTACCGCATACTGGAGGTCTCACATTGTTTTCTACATGTACTTTGAATTTTTTTTTTTTTTTTGAGTTGGAGTCTCACTCTGTCGCCCAGACTGGAGTGCAGTGGCCGCTCCTGGCCACCACAGCCTCGACCTGCTGGGCTCCGGCGATCCTTCCGCCTCCGCCTCCCGAGTAGCTGGAACTACAGGCGCGCGCTACCATGCCCGGCTAATTTTGGTTTATTGTAGAGATGAGGTCTCGCCAAGTTGCACAGGCGGGTCTCAAACCCGCAGGCTCAGGCAATCCACTCACTTCAGTCTCCCAAAGGTGCGGGATTACAGGCTGAGCCACCGAGCCCAGCTTACTTTAAAACTTACTGGTTTGTTATTTAAGTTAGACTCTGCTAGTACTTGGGGAAGAGGCAACTGGTAACACTTGGAATGCCATCTCAGTGGTTCAACTTCCAGGTTGTGGATACCAGCAAAGCATTTCCAGGGATAGGCTGGACTAGTAGATGTTGCAGAAGAGGCTGGCCTCAGTGATAGGTTGTCTTTAGCAGTGTCACTGAGGAAGTTCCTAGGATCTGTGTGAAGCTGCCACAAAGAGCCGGCGAGCTCCATGGGATGGAAACATGGAGAGGGCCTATGCCGTGGTCAGGGTTGCCCCAGGTTGGGTGGGGGCCTTTCCTCTGGGCCTGGCCTTTCACATTTCACAGCTGAAAAGATGGGCTCTGCCTGGTTTATAGCTGCAGCCCGGCATGAGGCATGGAATGAAGTGAATTGCGTGAATGCAGAAATGCACTTTCTTTTTCTTTTGCATTATTTTCTCAATTTTTATTTTAAAGATGTGGGGTACAATTCAGGGTTGGGTATGCAGATGGTCATTGTACAGGTAAAGTTTGGGCCTCACTTTGGTCCCCACATCACCTGGTTTGACAACAGTAGAACTTTTTGAAGTCATCCAACCCTTGGCTTTCTGATGAGGAAGGGGCCAAAGCAGGCAAATCTCACAGAGTAGGTGGATGGAAGAGCCAGGAATTCTGGTACCAGGCTTTTTTTTTTTTTTTTTTTTTTTTATGAGTTGGGGTCTCACTCTTGCCCAGGCTGGAGTGCAGTGGAACAAATATGGTTTACCACAGCTTTGAATTCCTGGGATCAAGCGATCCTCCTACCTCAGCCTTCCCAGTAGCTGGGGCTACAGGCGTGCACCACCGTGCCCAGAGAAATTTTTGAGTTTTTTGTAGAGACAAGGTCTTGCTATGGTAGGCTGGTCCTGGTCTTTTTTTTTTTTTTTTGAGTTGGAGTCTTACTCTGTCACCCAGACTGGAGTGCAGTGGCCGCTTCTGGCCACCGCAGCCTCGACCTGCTGGGCTCCGGCGATCCTTCCGCCTCAGCCTTCCGAATAGTTGGAACTACAGGCGCGCGCTACTACGCCCGGCTAATTTTTTATTTATTGTAGAGATGAGGTCTCGAACCCGCAGGCTCAGGCAATCCACTCACCTCGGCCTCCCAAAGTGCTGGGATTACAGGCTGAGCCACCGAGCCCGGCCTGGTCCTGGTCTTGAACTGCTGGTCTTGAACTGCTGGTCTTAAGCAATCCTCCTGCCTTGGCCCCCCAAAGTGCTGGGATTACAGGTGAGAGACACTGTGCCCGGTCAGTTGTTTTGAAGTGTGTTAATCTTCGAAAAGTTGTGTGGCTAGAGTGTGGTTCGTTTGCCTTGCAAAAATATGCCCTAAATATACTGTTATTTGGAGTAATTACTTAATCTAATATCCCCCCTCCACCCAGTTCTGATTTAGTCTTGTGTGAGCTGCAGTGTTGATGCTTCCACATGGGGGCACCATCGCTCTTCCTTTGCCTTGGCTGGCCAGCCAGTCAGAATCGGCATGTAGTTAAGACCTCACTCTGGGAGCGTTCCCAGAGGTTTGGAGCACAGCCACATCCTCTCCTTCAGGGTAGCTAAAAGCAAAATAGGTATGGTTTAATAGAGCCCTCAAGCTAGAAAGCAAGGCTTTTGCTACTGATCCCTTAGGTCTTTATAACCCAAAGTGTAGCATCATTAGTTACAGAAGACATCTTGGACTGACCTCAAACCTCAGGTAGATATATCCAGCCCAGGGCTTCTCAGACTACC